GGGGGGGTGAGGTCAGGGGTGTCCTGAACTGGCTTTTTCCGAGGACTGTCATTCCTAAAAAAAATCGGACCCCCATTCAAGTAATCCTGGATCCGCCCCTTACGTCAGATTGTCACTTAAATGGCTGACTTTTTGTGTATTGTCGCCAGTGAAAGGGAGTACCCCCCCCCCTTCCCCCCAATGGACGAATTACCTGTAAGAAGCCGGTAAAGTGGCGCGGTAAACAGTGGCAGATTTACGGGGTCTTAGGGGGTCCTGACCCCCCTTAGATTTCTGAAAAAATCCCACCGTCTCCTCTTGAAATTACAATTTGTACTAGTGGAATCATAGTTCTTAACCGTACCAAATGGCATCGTTCGCCCTCTAAAATACCAATTGAATGGTCCCTTCAGCAGGCCCCTGACCCCACTCCAAGGGGAGAGGGCGACTTCGCTTCCGCGCCCCCCCTCCCCCCCCCCTTTTCAAAAAATCCACGCTTGAGTCTTACGCACCCTGTAGCCCAGGTTTTGGGTTGTCCGGTGTGCAGGCAGCCCTACCCAAAATGCCTAGAGTGCACTATCAAAACCTTTGTTAGCAGGCGCTGTGGCGCGTGTTCTGACTGAGATGACAAGTTGCCGCCATTTTCAACCTGATGTGACCGACTGCAGCAAGTGACCTTCAAGATACTTGTGGAATTTCCGCTCTGCTGTAAAAGCAAACCTAAACCACATTTGCTAGTTCTACGTATTTGGCGCGGGATTTCCAGTGCTATTTTTGCTCATTATTTCCGGAAAAGGTGTGTATTTGAAAAGGTTAAAATTCACTGATAGAAGACGATAACTATAGTAAACGCCTACAAGGAAAACAAAGAAAGTAAGGTACATATTATATTTGGGAATGTTACACTTATATTAAATGTACTTGTATACGTTAACTGGACAGGCTGCTTTTCTATCTCGTCAACCTTCCATATGTGTGAGTCCCGAATTCTTATCATTGTCATGTGTGAGAAGATAGCGGGGTGATAAAACTGTAGGTCGCGTTGTAAAGTAGGACTGGCATCCATTAGATAAAGATGATAAATTATAGGCCTACATGTACCAGTACGAACTTGTACATTGCATTCGTAGTTTTCTGCTTGTCTAAGCAGTGAAAATTGTGTACACAGCAATGATGGACGCAGTGGGGGTAGAGGTTGCCTCAGTTTTCGGCCTTACAAGCTCACGGTACCCTTACCAGAAACCAGCGGTAAGGGTACCGTGAGCTTGTAAGGCCGAAAACTGAGGCAATGGTAGAGGGGGGCACATTGGGGTGACGGAGTGGGCCTAGGGGAGACAGGGGGGGGGCACAGTGGGGTAGGGGGACACAGCGGGGTAGGGAGACACCGTGGGGGGCACAGTGGGGGTAGGGGGACACAGGGGGGGAGGGGGACACAGTGGGGG